CAGTAGCTGACAATCCACAGCTCCAACCATCTCTGTACTCACTGTTTTCATTCAGGTTTTTCTACTAGTTGATGCCTAATCCGCTTCTGTATAGTTCCTTTCAAAGCTCAGGGCTCCAGGATTATCTTCTGTATCTCTGTCAATTGGTTTTTCTTTTCTTTATTGAAGAGGGTCTGTGTCACTTGTCTGCCTATTCCTCCATCTTACCAGAAGTCCTCCTTCCATCTTCTTTTGATGCTTCCTATATCATTCAGTATTTTGCCCATAGATCTTTCAGTATTGCAACTCAAGGCTTAATTTTTTTCCTCAGTTCTTTCAGCTTGAGAAATGTCAAGTGTCTTCTTCCGTTTTGGTTTTCTAACTCCAGGTCTTTGCACATTTCGTTATAGTAATTGGCTTTGTCTGCTCGAGCTGCCCTTCGAATCTTCCGTTCAGCTCTTTGATCTTGTCATTTCTTCCATTTGCTTTAGCTACTCTTCACTCACAGGCAGGTTTCAGAGTTTCTTCTGACATCCATTTTGGTCTTTTCGTTCTTTCTCTTATTTTTAATGACCTTCCTTTCTTCATGGATGATGCTCTTGATGTCACCCCACAAGTCTTCTGCTTTTCAGTCATTGGTGTACAGTGCATCAAATCTCTTCTTTAGATGGTCTCTAAATTCAGGAGGGATATATTCTAGATCATATTTTGGCTCTTGTGGACTTGTTTTAATTGTCTTCAACTTCACGTTGAACTTGCATATGAGCAGTTGATGGTCTGTTTCACACTTAGCTCCTGGCCTGGTTTTGGCTGAAGATACTGAGCTTTTCCATCGCTTCTTGCCACAGATGTAGTCAGTCTGATGGCTGTGTACGCCATCTGGTGAAGTCCATGTGTATAGCCACCATTTGTATTGTTAAAAAAAGGTATTTGCAATGAATGAGTTGTTGGTCTTGCAAAATTCTGTCATGTGATCTCCAGTGTTACTTCTGTTACCAAGGCCAAATTTTCCAACTACCGGTGATTCTTCTTTGTTTCCAACTTTTGCAGTCCAGTCACCAGTGATAAGCAACACATCTTGATTGCACGTTTGGTCAATTTCAGACTACATAAGTTGATAAAAAATCTTCAGTTTCCTAATCTGCTTTGGTGGTTGGTGCATAAATTTGAAGAATAGTTGTATTAAAGTGTCTTCCTTGTAGGCTTATGGATAGTATCCTATGACAGTACTGTACTTCAGGACAAATCTTGAAACATCTTGTGTGATGATGAATGCCACGCCATTCCTCTTCAATTTGTTATTCCTGGCATAGTAGATCATATGGTTGTCTGATTCAAAATGGCCAAAACTGTTCCATTTCATCTCACTAATGCCTGGAATATCAATCTTTATGCATTCCATTTCATTTTTGACAACTTCTAATTTTCTTAAATTCATACTTCATACATTCCATGTTCCAATTATTAATGGATATTTGCAGCTGTTTCTCCTCAATTTGAGTTGTTCCACATCAGCACGTGAAGGTCGTAAAAGACTTACTTTATCCATATCATTAAGATTGGTTCTACTCTAATGAGGCAGCTCTTTCCCTGTCCTGTTTTGAGTGCTTACCAACCCAATGGGCTCATCTTACTACAATGTGTTGGACAGTGTTTCCAAGCTATTCATAAAGTTGCCCAGTAATGTGTCAGACAGTGTTTCTCTTCTATTCACAAGGTTTTACCTGGCCAATTCTTTTGAGAAGTGGATGGCCGCCCCCTTCTTCCTAGTCAGTCTTAGTCTGCAAGCTGCGTTGAAACCTGTGTACCATGTGCAACTCTGTTGGTGCCTGAAATACCAGTGGCACTGCCTCAAGCCTCACAGCAATGTACAAGCCTCACAGGATGACAAACTGAGAAACAAGCTTGTCTCCCTTAGCTGTTGGAAACCTCTGTGCCCTCCTCTTAACTTAATTCCTACCTGAAACCTGCTGTTCTGTGATACCTATCTATTGATAGATATCTCCAATTCCAGTTCAACATCCCAAAGTTTATTAGCTTTTTCTGTGTTCATATTTGTAGCTCCCATCTCTAACAGTAAGAATCCTATCTTTCCACTTGACTTCTATATATTTACTTATTTATTCAAAACCCTTATATGCAACTAATCTCTGAGCATGTGGTTCATCCTTTTAGCCCTAGCCCTGGCGAGTGTGCTCAGTGCTGGGTTATGTTTCCAGACCTACCAAACTGGCAAACATACCAGGTGATTTCCTCAGCCCCAAAAAACATGCCAGGTGAGTCCCTAATTGAAGCTCCTGGTCCTGGCAAACAGGCAGGTTTAATCTCTGTTGGAATTCTTAGTCATGTTTCCATCCATGATGAACATGTTGGTCAGGCTCCTAGCCCTAGCAAGCATGCTTTGTTTGAGACCCTTGTTTCAACCCCGCAAGGCACTCTACTTAAATCTCCAGCCCTGAGCAAGGGAGGAGTTATATGCTTTTCTTAACGTTTCTTGTAGTGTTTAAAGTCACTAGGAGATGTTCAGTGATAAAACACATGACTTAAGGCAAATAGTGGAAATGGTTCCATTTAATGCGCTTTTTCAATATCTGAGAAGGAACACGTTTTTCAGGTTATAGATAGGAAAAAGCCTTGTAATTTTTTTTTGTTTTACTATAGTTAGAAAATTATTTGTTAGTTCTCAGAAACTAGCCTTACAGTATATTATAAGTGGCAGTTGCTGAGCAGCCCCTTATATCCATAGTAACATAGAGAGCCTTACACTGTTGCCTTATTTAGGAAGAAATTCAGAGTACTTGACTTCTTCCTTGCCCATGATTATCTGTACTTTCCAGAATTCATAAGTAGAGTAATTTTTGACCATTGGACTCTTTAAACACAAGCATTGTTTTAGGAGGATGGAAGACATATAGTTTCAGATCCTTATACTTAACCACAACAGTGATAATAACTACCACTTACTGAATTCCCACAATAAATGTTAGACCTTTACATTTCTTTTTCTCTAGTATCAGTATCAAGCTCTATTTAATTTCTATGCCTGTTTTTACTGTAATGCCTCTTTTAAAAATTCACAGCTCTGTGTGTGTGTATGAATTTGTGGTTATTTATGTGTGTGTGTGTGTGTATATATACACACACACACACACACACACATACTTATCTAAGTAAGTGATGTATGGAAAAAAAACTTTTGTCCCTCCACTATCTTAGTATCTAGTGCTTTTAAAGGAGCTTCCAGGAGAAGACTGTCACTTGCCAGTGGAAGATGTTGTTGAACTTCTGAAACCTCTATCGTAAGAAATTAAAACCTTATGCTATATTCACTTTAAATTTATAAAAATAACCAATGTGTTCTGTTGTGCTTATGAAGTTTAAATTTTTCCATCACAGCAATGTGTGTTCTTTGTATCGCCGTGACCAAGATGTTTGTAAAACAATTTTAAACCATGTCCTTCATATAGTAACAAACCTAAGCCAAAGCAGTATGGATAATGAGAACACAAGAGATGCTCAAGGACAGTTTCTAACAGTGATTGGAGCATTTTGGTAGGTGCAAATTATTTTATAGAGTCTTTATTTTTCTTTTGCTACCTTTAGATACCAATGTAAACTTTTCATGTCTGTGTTAATGATTTCTTCTAGTCCTCCAATACTTTTATTAACAATTAAGAATATAATTTGTGTTTCCTTTCTTAATTGCTTGATGAACTATATTTTTCTTCAAACAGCTTAATGTTTGGCTTTCTGAAGTAAATTTAATACATTTTCCTGCAAATTTTGAGTTATTAATAGTTTGAAATGTATGGTGAATAAAGCAAAGTGCAACAATTCTAAATGAATTGAATTGTTTATGTCCCCAGAATAACCAAGTGGTCCTTGTCATTATCTGGGTATTTCATTCTTATGGCTACAGTCTGTGATAATACCATCATACTCATAGAGGAGCATATGAATGTATTATAGAGCCATCAACTATTTGATCAATAAGGACTTCTAAATCAGTGTATAGTTTTAAAATCTTTGATGTAAAAAACAAAAACTTTCTTTTAGTTTCTTTTTAAAGCAAATTTAATATAACACGGTTGCCTGAAGGCTGATAGCCCTGAAAGAAGGCATAATTACATACAAGTAATATACATAAAAATAAATTCTTGTTTATTCTAATTTATTTTAGCTGGAACCTTCAAGATGGTAGGTGTAGTGGCATGTATTATATAAGGAGAATTACTTTCAGTATGAAAAGAAATTTTGGAAGAAACTTAGAATCATCTTAGTATTTATTGAATTTCCTGATTTCACTTTTAATTGAATAATTGACATTGAAACACTGACTTTATTTCAGGCACTTAGCAAAGGAGGGAAAGTGCACATCTTCTGTAAGAATAGCACTAATAAAATGCCTTAAGACTCTGCTTGAGGTGAGTTACTTCACTTAAGCATTAGTAAGGTATCTATTAAATATTGTAAAGCAAGCTTTGTTTCTGTTTATTAATGGTTGATATTTCTTTTAATGTTTCATACATACTTGGAATTGTTCTTTTCTCATAGGCTGATCCTTATTCAAAATGGGCTATTCTTAATGTAATGGGAGAAGACTTTTCTGTAAATGAAGTATTTCCACAATTTCTTGCTGATAATCATCACCAAGTTCGAATGTTGGCTGCAGAATCAATCAGTAGGTAATGGATCCACCCTTCAAACTTGGAACTCAACCCACTCTTGGAGATCACTTTTTAGCCAAACAATAGGCCCATAAAGTGAATGGTAACACCTGTGAAGAACATGCTTCTCAGAACAGTCAGTCATACACAACCAAAAGTGCAGCATTTGCCTAGAAACAAATTCCAGAAGGCAGGAAGGAACAGGAAAGAAGGACAAATAGAAACTCAGAACCCTGGGAGAAAGTGGGAAAAGTGCTGTTACTTTGAGGGGATTGCAACATGAAACACAATGTGTATAAATTGTTGATTGGGAAAATAATTTGCTTTGTAAACTTTCACCCAACCTACAATAAAATGTTAAAAAAAAATGTCAATAGTGGGTCAGATATTCATGAAGTATCTGGAACTCTGTAGATAGTAATGCAGTGTCTAGCATAGTCACAGTTTACTAGTTACATTAAAAATAGCTAAGACTTAACTGAGTATACTCTGTGTGCCTCGCATTTATGTTTTCCCTTAGTTCTAACAAAAGCACTATCATTTAGATGTCATTATTTTCTCTAATTTGTGAGTGAAAACTCGACTAAGAGGTAAAGTGACTTGCTTAGTGCCACACAGCTAGTAAATGATGACTTGAACGAGCTATGTCTGCTACCATTTACAGGAGTTAGAGTAGGTGTATTTGTTTAGATAATACCATGTTTTTTATGTGAGTGTGTAACATGATAAACAGCACATTTTATATTTTGCTAATTACAATTCTATTAACATAAGTCAACGTACAGTTAAGCACTAGAGTGATTCTATTATGGAGATCTGTTTTATTGTTTGGCTGCCTGAAGATAAAAACATTCTCATGGACTGCATGCATATTTATCAGGTTATCAAATTTATTTTAAAACTCTTAATTGCAAACCACATCCACTTCCACTTCTCTGTCCCTATAAATAAAATACTTCCTGCTTTATTTTTCTTTATGATATCTATCACTACTTGAAATATTAAATTATTTTAATACATTTAAGTCTCCACATCCCACTAGAATATAATTCCTAGAAAGCATTGATTTTGTGTGTGTGTGTGTGTGTCTGTGTGTCTTTGCTGTTCATTGCTGTGTCTCTGGCTTTAAAACAATACTTCAAATAGGATAGGTGTTTAATAACTATTTATGAATGTAGTTGATAAAAAAATTACATGATGCTTTAAAAATACCAAAGTTTAGAATCATTTGAATAACTTTACTGTTCATATGTAAGTGAAAATCATAAAGCAATTATCCTAGTGGTCACATCAATATAAGTATTGGAACTAATGTACCTGAAATTCACATACATTGACAATAATGTGTTCATAAATCAGAATTTGTATCCAACTCCTAAGGAGCTCTAGTGGCATAGTGCCTAAGGCATTTGACTGCTAACCAGAAAGTTGACAGTTTGAACTCACCAGTTACTCCATGGAAGGACCAAGGAAAGAAGACTGGGCAGTCTGTTTCCATAAAGATTTACTACCTCAGAAACCCAAAGGGGGTTGCTAGGAGTCAAAATTGACTCGATGGCATTGAGTTTGGTTTTTGTTCATTTTCCTCAGGATTAGAACTCTTCAGTAAGAACATGGTGCATTGTAAGGATTGCTAATGAATGCTTGCAGTACTTCAAGTCCTGGCAGAATTTCACACATAGATGATAGAAAATTCATCCAGAAGTTGAAAGTCTGGGATTATAGAGAGCTATAAATTAAATGTAATAAAGCAGTGTAGTGACATTGAAAAAAAGTTTCAGACTAAAAAATGTGTAAATTCAAGAATGACATAAAAGTTGCATTTGCTGAGTTTTTGTTCACGCAGACATTGGGCTTTTTTTGCAAGAGATTAGAGAAATTAAAAGAAGCAGGAACACCAAAAATTATGTAAGTTTTTATAACCAAAAAGGTGGAAAGGGCAAAAATGACTAAAGAGCCATCCTTTAGTTTGATAGAATGTTAATGCAAAAGGCACTGATCAGCCATCACATTAAAAAAAAAAAAAAAAATCTCTGTTACCTACCCACTTTCATGGTAATTAAATACTAGATCAAGTAGATGGAGGATTCTGTGAATTCTTTCTGATTGGTGGTTGAGAAGTAGAAAATGTATTTCTGGGTAGCTTGAGTTTCATTTTTTTTTTTTTTTTAAGATTATTCCAGGATATGAAACAAGGAGATTGTCCCCGATTATTGAAAGCACTTCCTTTGAAGCTGCAGCAAACAGCTTTTGACAATGCATACTTAAAAGCTCAGGAAGGAATGAGAGAAGTGGTAAGTTTGATAACATGCATATTTACTATTATAAGCTCCCTGTGAATGTACCATAAAGCTAGACTGAAACAACTATATGAATTGAATAGGATTATCTTACTTATAGGTGAGAATTGATTAACATTAGCATTTTTTTAATTCAGCCTACATACCTAGCATTCTTGTGAGGGAAAACAAAAGTACAGTTTTTGTAGGAATATAAATGACTTCTTTTTTATTAAAAAATCCTTTTTTGTAACATCTGAGTAAAACCTAATTCAGAGGACAAGTGGCAGTAGGTAGAAATAGAATGTAGAAGAGTTTCAACAGTTAATACTACATTTTGTTGGTGTTCTTTAGTGAATTCTAATTATATTTTTCTATATAATAATTTTTTCTTATTTGTGTAGATAATACCATGGTTTTTATGTGAGTATGTATTTGTTTAGATAATACCATTATCTAAATAAAAAAAATAATTTTTTCTTAAACTGGTGCTTCTCTTAATGTTCAGATTCATTCATTCATTTTTTTATTTATGCACTAATTTGTTTCTAAAAGTTTTGAAAACAGTAAATCAAATGATTTACCAAACCTGTGATAACAAAAACTGAAAAAGACAGTTGGAAGATAGGATGGGTAAAAGAATGGATAAAATCCTTTTTAGAAAAAGCTTTCAGTATCATGAGTGCAGAATAATATAACATTTAATGGATACAGTAAATTATACATTTGAAATCAGCTGACTGCCAGCAAACGCACCACCCACACCTTGGAAGCAAGACTGTGCAATTTACTTCCATAGTGATGCTGCCTCAGAAACCCAAGGAGGGGTTGAATTGGATCTGACTCGATGGCAGTGAGTTTGGTTGCTTTGGATCAAGTATAAAAAGGAAAAATTAGTGATCTGACAGTAGTTCATTTGAAAAAAGATCTTGAGAATACAGTATGAATTAGCATTGGTTTATGGTTATCCAAAAAAAGGAAATTCTATCTTATACAGTATTAATAGAAACATAACGTCATGAAAAAAACAGATAAAGGAACTTGCATCTTCTGTTCTTTGTAGATGACGGCTAGTATGTTGGGCTTGGGTTTGGTTCTGAGTAAAAGTAAATTCTTAACCAAGATGTTATGAAGAGTCTGGAAATATGTATCTTACTTACAAGGAATAGTTGAGTTATAGGGAATTTTCAGACGTGTTAATGATTGCCACTTAATAAAGGAGTTAGGTACTTTCTTTGTCTTGTTCCAAATTACAAAATTAGGATCAGTGAGTAGCAAATTTTTTTAATGTGTAGGGAAGTTTCTAACAAATAATAACTAACCAAGAAAAGTATATACCTATTAAGATATTGTAATGGTCCATCATTAAACTAGATAGCATATATTGTTTTACCTACTTTCTTGATTTTATTGTTCCTTTTGAGAATATATGTGGTAACATTTTTTAAAGTAGACAGGACTATATTATAAGGTATCATAATGATAATATGCATCTTAGGAATTACATAGGCATACATTGGAGATATTGTGGGTTCGGTTCCAGACCACTATAATAAAGTGACTATTGCAGTAGAGCCAGTTACATGAAATTTTGGTTTCCCTGTGCATGTAAAAGATATGATTACACTATACTGTAGTCTATGAAGTGTGTAATAACATTATGAAAAAGTTTGAAATATTTTAAGAATTACCAAAATGTGATATAGAGACACGAAGTGAGCAGATGCTTTCAGAAGAATAGTACCAATAGACTTGCTCAATGCAGGGTTGCCACAAACACTCAGTTTGTAAAAAAAAAAAAAAATCATCTACAAAGTCCGGTAAAGTAAAGTGTAATAAAACAAGGTATCACTATGCCTGTATTTGCTAGTTGAAGAGGAGCTTTTTAATCTCTCTCACCCTCTCCTTACAACCTTGCAATTGCTTTTCTTTCTTTCTAAATTTCTTTTAACTACTTTTAAGTATATCTCACCAGAATGTTTTCTTTTGGCAAGTCTTTCCACAAGATATTATAAAAGCAGATAACACTCTAGAGAACTAACATTTTCCCTACCTTTAGCTCTAGCACTGAGACTTAAAATTGCACTGGCTGCTTAGATGTTGTCATGGGATGCTTTGATTTTAGTCTCAGTTTATTATAGCATTTAAATATTTACATTACATGATTGTAATGCTGCATATTTACATTATTTTTTTTTAAAATTCTTTTGCAGTCCTACAATACTGAGAACCCTGAACTTTCTGATGAACTTTATAATAGAAAAGCTGTTTTACTGATGGTGATAGCTATGGTTTTACGCTGTAGCCCAGTCTGTGAAAAACAGGCTTTATTTGCCCTATGCAAATCTGTGAAAGAGAATGGATTAGAACCTCACCTAATTAAAAAGGTATATGTGGATGAATATTTTTTATTATGATCTTCCTTGGGTTATAAAAACTAAGAGGACAATTTAAAGCTAGCTTTGTAAAGTGATACTTTTAAGACTTGGAGATAATTTTATATTAGAGGCAGAAAATTGGAGAACAGAGTAACTCTTTTAGTGGTGTATTTGTTTTCTGCGGTATGATTTCTTATATTCCATTTAAGAGCATTTTTGGGTGGATAACCTGTCAGCAAACAGATCAGACCCTTTGGAATAACATTTATTGAGGGAAGGTCATAGACAAGAACAGTAGCAGGTGCTTTTCCAAGTGGATTCTGGTATAACACATTGGGTTCTAGCTAGACCCGAAGTCAAATTTTAAGGCAGTAGGTCTTTGAAGTTACGTAATTAGCGTAAGAAGACTGAGGTCTAACTAAGCCTTGCAGTGACATCAGTATGGTGTTTTAAAATGTTGGCCCTTGCTCTGTTCTACCACATCAGCATTCATGGTTTGAGATGCAGCCTTTTACTTGCATGTATTTATGTCGTCGTACATTGAACTAGTTGCTTGATCTGCCTTTATTGTTCCACCAGCATGGTTTTTATAGAACTTAACAATAGGCCAACATATAGAGAATCAATCGTAGATAGATTAACCTTTACTTGTTGTTGTTGTTGTTGTGTGCCGTCGAGTCAGACCCTACTCATAGTGACCCCTTCTTGGGTTTCCGAGGCAGTATCACTAAGGAAGTAGATTGCCCAGCCTTCTTTCCAAGGAGTGGCTGGTGGGTTTGAACCTCCACCTTTCTGGTTAGTAGTCAAGTGCCTTAGGCACTACGCTACCAGAGCTCCTCTTTACTTCTTAGTATTGAAATAAGAAGACAGTCACAGGACAAATATTATTTGAGTCCATTATTGTAAAAAGTCAAGGAAAGGTTTACCCAGAGAGGGAAATTTTCTTTCTTGGTTACCAGGGATGGGAGGGGAGGAAGGGAGGGAAAATAGATGGATAATTAAGAGGTTTGATATTAATGAAGGGAGAAGCAATATAAGTAAGGAAAAGGAACACACAAATAGTTACATAAGAGGTATGGACAATAAAGGCAAATACAATTGCATATACAATACTGCATTATCAGTTACAGCAAACAGTAATCTATGGGTGGGTACATGGGTAGACAGGCAAGAAGACCACATATGGATAGGCAAATGGTATCATACCTATGACCATACATAGATTTGGCAAATGATATTCCTATATATGTATTAGTGTATGCTGTAAAAATGTCCATATGCAGTTTAAACATAACAAGAGGCAATGTCAAGATAACTTCTTAGCCACAAATAGACACCTTGCAAGAGTGAGTCACTAGGCCTGCAGGCTATGGACCATGGTTGCACGGGATATCAAGCTCAACTGGCAGAACATGGTATGCAAAAATATTGTTCTATATCTTACTTTCGTAAGTAGTGTCTGGTATCTTAAGAGCATGCAAGCAGCCATCTTAGATACGACTATTAGTCTCTCCTTGTCTGGAGCAAAGAAGAGTGAAGAAAATCAAAGACTGATGGACACAGTTAATCCAAAGGTCTAAAAGACAGTGAGAAGTTCTGCCTATATGACCCTGAGACCAGAAGAACTAGATGGTGCCGGCTAACACTATTGACTGCTCTGAAAGGGATCACATTAGAAAGTCCTACGTAGAGTGAGGAAAAAATGTGGAACAAAACTCAAAATCACAAAAAAGACCAGCCTTGTTCGTCTGATAGAGATTGGTAAAACCTCCAAGACTTTGTCCCTGAGTCATCTTTCAGGCCTGAAATTGAACTCACTCCCATGACTTAATGCTTAGCAGAACAATAGGTCTACAAGCTGAACACCTACACCAGGTTGATGCACTTCTTAGAACAATCAGCCATGGAGAACAGAAGGGCAGCATTTGTACAGGGAAAAAGGTGGGGAGGCAGGAATTCATAGGCAGAAAGGACATAGTGGAAGTGTAACCACAGGGAGAAAGTGGGAGGTCTCCACAGGGAGAAAGGGAGGAGCCCTTACACTATGGTGAATGTAACCAATGTCATAAAACAGAAAGTGTGTGAACTGTTGAATGTAAAACAAAACTGTTTTGTAAAATTTCACACAAATCCAACAATAAAAAGTTTTTTTATAAAAAAGAAACAACCCCGTGGAGCAGTTCCACTCAGTCACACACAAGGTCTCCATGCATCAGAATTGACTGGAAGGCAACATTTTTTTTGTCCTTCCGTACATGTTACCCTATTTCACTGACTCTAATGATAGTAAAGAAGTCCCTGGGTGATAGAGTTAATGCACTTGGCTGCTAGCCAAAAGGTTTCAGGTTTAAGTCACCCAGAGGTGCCTCAGAAGAAAGGCCTGGCAGTCTACTTCCAAGAAATCATCCACTGGAAAACCTATGGTGCACAGTTCTACTCTGATACCTATAGGGTTTCCCTGAGTTGGAGTCAACTCAATAGCAACTGGTTTGGTTTGGGTACTTAATGATAGTAAAATCTGTAGAAATAACTGTTACTTTATGTACCATTAAAGGAAGAAGATTCTGCTATTAAACCATTAAATGATGCATTTTTATCATTTAGAATTATTAAATGTATGGAATATAGAGGAGATAAATTGGGAGGTTATTACTGAAAAAAAAATAGCTTTGTTTTCATTATACTGCCTAATTACTGTAATTACTTTTGATTTTACTTGTTTCAATTCAAGACTGAGGTAAAGAATTTTACTTTAAACCTTATTGTGAGATGTAATCAGAGTTGAAAACTGCAGTATTTATGTAATATTTATTAAGGGTTTGCTGCGTGGGAACTAAGCTGTCGCTGTCGTGTGCTGTCAAGTTGATTCTGGCTTGTAGCAACCCTATGTGACAGAGCAGAGCTGTTCCATAGAGTGTCCTAGGCTGTAATCTTTATGGGAGCAGATCACAAGGTCTTTTCTACCAAGAAGCAGCTGGTGGTGGTAGGATGGAGCTGCTGACCTTTTTTTTTTTTTTTTTTTTAAGCTGTTGTACCTTTTTAACTATTTTACCACCTTGGGGACTATGCTAATTATATTAAATGTATTTTCATATTTAATATCACAGAGGTAGATTCTTTATTATTCCCCTTTTACCAATGAAGAAATTGATGTGTAGAAAAGTTAAATGAGTGTAGAAAAGTTAAATGAGTACATCAAAGTCATATTGTAAATAATATTTATATGTATTAAAATGATTTATTTTCTTACTTTTACAGGTTTTAGAAAAAGTGTCTGAAATTTTTGGATATAGACATCTAGAAGATTTCATGACTTCTCATTTAGATTATCTAGTGTTGGAGTGGCTAAATCATCAAAATACTGAATGCAGTTTATCTTCTTTTCCTTTTGTTCTGTTAAACTACACAAACGTTGAAGATTTCTACAGGTAGGTTTACATGTGGCCTCTGAATCATTAATATAAAATAAGGTAGTGATGGTTGGCAATAGTCCTCATGCCTCCTCCCCTCCACATCTAGTCAGTTTGGAGGCTGTATAGTATGAGAGGCTGCACAGCTTGTTGTCATAAAAGTACATTGGAGTTGGGAGTCATTAGACTTAAGATTTGTTCCTAACTGTGCGATAATCAGATATGTTATGTGACTTCAGGCAAACCCATATAAATGCTACCTGGGCTTTGATTTCTTTCATTTGTAAAGAGAATTACACGAAGAGCTCTTTAAAGGTTCCTTTTCAACTTTAATATTTGATGATTTCATTTGAAAAATCAAAGATAATTTACTAGTGGATGATTATTTCTACCTTGTTTTTCTCTTCTGTTTCCAGAGAGTAGGCCATTTCAGTAATTGTTATTTCTATTAGATTTAGAAATTTAGTGTAAAACTACTTCTTTTGCTAACTCCAACTCTGGCGAGGAAAGTTTCGAAAGTGGAGAGATTTGAAACAACTAAAAAGTAATGCTCAGAGTCCAACATGATGGTGTAGTCAGATGCCTTATAGTGTTACTGTTACGTCAGTGACTCAAGAACATCAAGTGAATCAGATATGGATGACAACTTTGGACCCCTAATCATCAAAGGCAAGGCTGAAGAAATTAGACCAAGTGCCAAGTGGAAGAAATTGGACAAAAACAGAAGACATGGAGAATTATGCATCACTGGCACCTTTCCACGTAGACCTGTACAATGTGGCTATACTGAGACAAAAGAAGCCGTGTTCCCAGCTAAAGCCCCAGTCACCTGGTCTAGCCAAGGAGCAACTCTGTACCTACATCCAGGGCCAGGCAGGAGTGCTCCCTACCCTATGGAAGTTAAATGTACTGATCTCGCCCACTTTGCCTCCCCAGCCCTCTGTTCCAGAGCACTCAATTGCATTGGCACCCATGAACACCCTGCCCCTTGAGGTGTTGACCTGTAGAATGAGGGGCTCCACAGACTGGTGGTGTCCCTTTTCCATCCAGCAACTGACACCAGGAGACTACAAACTTGAAGCACCTGTACCTATGTCCAAACTCTGGGCCAGGGACCTGTAGACCAGCAGCACCACCACACCAGGGCCAGAAGACTGGAAGCACACCCTCCCCTGAATCTCTCTAACAGACAGGTATACCCTTCCAGTGGGCATCTTTGGACTGGCAGCATCCCTCTTGCCTCAACCTCCACACCATCTGCCCCCCTTCCCTCACCCAGTCAGCAACTTGTGCCTGCTTCTGCCACCTCCAAGCAGCCCTGTCTGCCTGGGACCATTGGTGAGAGTTTCTGTACCACTCACCCACTGACGACCCAGTCACCCTCACTGCAACCACCCAGCAACTACTGAAAATGCTCCCGGAATCCACTCCAGGGTGACAAAGCTGGACAAACATCTCCTCACCAGCAGTGCCAGCTATGTCCTTAGTCATCTTGCAAGACCAGTGAACACAGACCTGCACTCACATACCCAGCTATTCCTTACCCTCCCAGAGACAGTTGATGAGAGCTCCAGTGCAGGAAGTCTTGTGACCAGAGTAGCATGCACATCTCATGTACTCAGATATATCCAAACAAAACAAAAAATCAGGTTGCAAGGAACATAATCAAGAAATAAATATAGTATCATCTTAATGCCTTGGAAGCAACAGACGATATCAAATCACATAAAGAAGCAGAACAAAATGGCTCCAGTAAGTGACCAAAATAAAGAACCAGAAAACCTTCTGGAGCAAGAAGCGGTAATGGAACTACCTGATAAGGAATTTAAAAGACTAATTCACTGATGAAAACACTAGAGGAATTTAGGAAAACAGTATAAGAACAGAAAGACAAACAATTAAAAACCATACAGAAATAGCAACTGCAAATCCCAAAGAGTAATAAGTTTTCACAAGTAGATAATTCTATAGGACATAGGAGCAGAATTGAAAAAAAATGCAATACAGAATCAGTGAAGTAAGGACGAATCCCTGGATACCGATTTGTTTTAGAAAAAAAATCAGAAAAAAGAATGAAGAAAATGTAAGAACTATGTGGGACACTATCAAGAGGAAAAGTTTATGTGTGATTGGAATTCCAGAACAGCCAGAGATAGGGGGGAAAAGAAATCCATAGAATTGGTGAAGATTTGCCGGCAGAAAATTTCCCTCGTACCATGAAAGATGAGAGGATGTCCATCTAAGCAGCTCAGTGAACCCCATACAAGACAGACCCCAAAAGAAATTCACCAAGACATATGAAGTCATTAAGACTTAACAAAACCAAAGACAGTGAAAATATCTTGAGAACAACTTGGGGGAGAATGAAAAGTCACCAACAAAAGGAACCAATAAGACTAAGTTCTAATTATTCAGCAAAAACCATGCAGGCAAAAATTTTTTTCTTGAAAGAAAAAAATTGCCAACCAAGAATTTCATATCCAGCAAAATTGTCTCTCAAATAGGTGAAATTTGTACATTTCTAGGCAAGCATAAAGGAGTTTGTAAAAGCTAGCCCAACCTTTTTAAGAAATATTAAAGGGAGTAATTCAAATAGAGAACAAACAGTGTGAGGCAACAGCCTGAGATTAGGGCACACGACAGTAGCAGTGAGTTAAAGAACCCAGATAAAGAATTCTCAAAAATAAAACAAAGCTAGAAGACTAAAGACACAGAGACTTCAATCTGTAAATGACAACATCAAACTGAAAAGGGGAAATAAATAGTGTAGTTATAGAACTTGTATGTGGAGAGGAAGTCAAGGCAATATCAAGAGGGGAAAAAAAGAGATTGTTTTAAACTTAAAAAGATCAAGATAAATTTCAGGGTAACCACAAAGAAAATTAACCAACCTCATCAAAATAAATAAGAAACACACAAAGACTCGGTGAACACAGAATCAACAACAATGAAACAAACAAAAAAATCCACAAGCAAAGAGAATTCAGCACAGAAAATTAAGCAGAACAAAGAAACAGTACCCCCCCCCAAAAAAAAAAACAAAGAGAACAGAAGGACAATAGTAAACTCACACCTATCGAAAATCATGCTGAGTGTAAATGGCTTAAATGTACCAGTCAAGAAAGAGAGTGGCAGAATGGATTTTTTTTTTTTAATTTAAACAAGAGCCATCAATATACTGTAAGAGACAGATCTTAAACACAAAGACATAAATAAACTAAAACTCAAATGATGGAAAAAAATATATATCAAGAAAACAATATAACCCCCCCCCAAAAAAAAACCGAGTGGCAATATTAATCTCTGATAAAAGATTTCAAGGTAAAATCTACCATAAAAGGTAAAGATGTTGTATAATTATTAAATGGTCAATCCATCAAGAGGACAACCATAATAAATATATACATACCAACGGAGCTCTGGTAGCATAGTGCCTAAGGCACTTGACTGCTAACCAGAAGGCTGGCGGTTCAAACCCATCAGCCACTCCTCGGAAGGAAGGTTGGGCAATCTACTTCTGTAGTGACACTGCCTCGGAAAGCCAAGGAGGGGTCGCTATGAGTCGGGTCCGACTCCATGGCACATAACAACATCACCACCACCACCCAGTAACAGGGCTTCAAAATACATGAAATAAATTCTAATAGCTTGAAAAGGAAAATAATTCCACAATAATAGTAGGAGATTTCAAAACACCACTTTCAGTGAAAGAATAACTAGAAAGAAACTCAACAAAAATACATAAGATGTGAAAACCACAATCAGCCAATTTGATCTCGTAGAAATGTGGAACACTCCTTAAAATTGAAGCCCAATACACATCCTTTTCCGTTGCACATGGGTGATTCTCCACAACAGATGATATTTTAGGCCACAAAGCAAGCCTCAATAAAATACAAAACATCAAAATAGTATGACACGTCAAAATGCTATAAATGTAGAAATTGATAACAGGAAGGACAAGGGAAAAAAAAAACACATAAATGGAAATTGAATATCACCTTGCTAAAAAGCCACTGAGGGATAGAAGATATCAAAGGTGAACTTAAAAAAATTCCTAAAATCAAACACAAAACACAACACACCAAAAGTTTTGGGGTACAGCAGTAGCAATAGCAATACTCAGAGGTCAGTCTATGTCAGTATCCATATACACCAAAAAGACGAAAGGGCCCAAATAAAAATGTTAGCCCTACAACTCAAACAAAAGGGAGAGCACCAAAGTAAGACTACAGTCATCAGAAGAAAGTAAAAATTAGAGCAAAAATTAATGAAGAAAACTGAAAGTAGAATCAGTAAGTTGTTTGAAAGGATCAATAAAATTGACAAATGACTGTCCACATTGACAAAAGAATAGCAAAAGAAGCAAATAAGAAATGAGATGTGTAACCTTAAAACGGGAGCTCTGGTAGCATAGTGGCTAAGACATTTGCCTGCTAACCAGACGGCTGGCGGTTCAAACCCACCAGCCACTCCTCGGAAGGAAGGTTGGGCAATCCTACTTCCATAGTGATACTGCCTCGGAAGCCCAAGGAGGGGTCGCTATGAGTCGGGTTTGACTCGACGGCACATAACAACAACAAACCTTAAAACAGAACGAAGTAAAATAAAAAGGATCTTCCTTGAATACTATGAAAAACTATACTCTTAGCAACTTTAAAAACCTAGAGGAAATGTACAAATTTTGAAACACAATACCTGTCTAAAGTAACACAACTGAGGTAAAAAACCTGAGAAGACCTTAGCAACCATTCCTGAAGAGGTAAATTTTTTAAATCCTCACAAAAAAAGCTCTGGCCCAGTTAGCTTCAAAGACTTCTATCACTCATTCAGAGAAGACCTCACATTGGAACTATGCAGACCAGAGCATAGAAAACTAAGGAATACCAGAATTCATTCTATGAAGTCAGCATTACCCTGACACCAAAGCCAGGCAAAGAGACCGCAAAAAAAGGAAACTTTGTTTTCAGACAGATTTCCCTCATCAATATAGATGCAGAAGTTTTCAATAAAATTCTAGCCAATATAATTCAACAATGTTTCAAGAAAATAATGCATCATAACCAAGTGGAAGTCATACCAGATATGCAAGGATTAGTCAACATTAGAAAATCAATCAACGTAATTCACAAAACAAAGGAGAATAATCCCATGATCATCTGTATCAACCCAGAACAGGCATTTGGTAAAGGCCAACACCCATTCCCAATAAAAGCAGAGCAAAATAGGAGTAGCATGGGAATTTTTCAACATAATAAAACATTTATACAAAACCAACAGTGAACATTATTTTCAGTGGACAGAGACTGAAATTATTCCCCTTGAGAACAAACACCAGACAAGGATGCCCTTCCTTACCACTCTTCCTCAACATTATACTGGAAGTCTTATCTAGAGCAATAAGGCAAGAAAAGGAAATAATGGACATTGAAATTGGTAAGGAAGTAAAACTAGCCCTGTTGGCAGATGATATGCTATAAATAGAATATCCCATAGATTGCACAAGAAAGCTACTGGAAAATAATAGAAGAATTGAGCAAAGTAGCAGCTTATAAGATCAAAATACAAAAATCAGTTACATTTCTCTATACCAACAAAGAGAAGTTTGAAAGGAAAATAACACCACTTATAGTAGTACCCCAAAAGAGAAACTTAAAAAAAAAATCACTGCCATCAAGTCCACCTTGTAGCAACCCCCCATTGGGGTTCCAAGGCTGTAAATCTTTACAGAAGCAGACCGCCCCATCTTTCTTCCATGGAGCAGCTGGTGGGTTTGAACTGCCAACCTTCTGTATAGCAGCCAAATGCATTAACCACCACCAGAGTTTCTTAAAAGAAAATACTTGGAAATAAATTTAACCAAGGACATAAAAAAACCTACATAACGAAACCTACAAAACACTACCGTAAGAAACCAAGAGAGACCTACATCAATGGAGAAATATACCATGCTTATGAATAGAAAGCTTTAATATTGTGAAAATATTAATACTACTCAATACTATTTATAGATATAATGCAATCTCAATCCAAATTCCAACAGCATCTTTAATAAGATGAAAAAAATAATCTCCAGCTTTAAATGGAAAAGAAAGATCAATTCATTTACTAAGAAGAAGAACAACAACAACAACAAAAACCCACTGTCATTGAGTTGATTCTGATTCATAGTGACCCTATAGGACAGCATAGAATTGCCCCCATGGAGTTTCCAAGGCTGTAAATATTTACAGAAGTAAACGGTCTCATCTTTCTCTCACATAGCACCTGGTGGGTTCAAACTGCTAACCTCTGGTTAGCAGGCAAATGCTCTAAACACTGTGCCTCCAGAAGAAAAAGTAGGAGGCCTCACTCCAGCTTATCTCAGAACCTACTATACACCCACGGTAGTCAAATAGCCTGATGCTGGTACAACAGACACGTAGACCAATGGAACAGAATTGAGAATCCAGACATAAGTCCATCAACTGTGGACAGTTGATCATCAGCAAAGGGGCAGAGTCCCTTAAATGGGGAAGATGCAGTTTTTTAACAAATGGTGCTGGCTAACTGGATATCTGTCTGTAGAATAATGATACGGGACTCATATCTTACACTATACACAAAAAAATAAGATGGCTGAAAGACCTAAAACTATATAAATACCATGGAAGAAAAAGTAGGGATCATGAAAGAAAAGGAGGCTCTACTCTATGGCATAAATAGAATTCTAAACGTAACTAGAAATACACGAACAATAGAAGGTGAACTATATAGGTGGGACCTCCAAAAATTAAGTACTTATTGCTTATCAAAACAGTAAAATGATAACTGTGGGTTCTCAATAATGTACAAATGAACACATACTGGGAAAAAATTTTTGGCTATGACATATCCAAAAACAGTCTAATCTCTGAAATTTATAGAAACTTCATCACCTCAATCACAAAAGGCAAACAATCAGATTAAAACACAAAGAGTATGAACAAACACTTAAGCAAAGAAGACAATGAAGCAGTTAACAAATACGTGTAGAAATATGTTCATTAGCCATTAGAGCGATACCAATCAAAACTGGCATAGTCTATCATCACCCTGACAATAATGGCACTAATCAAAATAGTATAAATTTTGGCGAGGTTATGGGGAGATTAAAATTCTTATACACTGTTGGTGGGAATGTAAAATGGTACAATCACTATGGAAAATGGTATGGTACATCTTTCAAAACCTGGAAATAGAAATAGCATGTTGTTGTTATGTGCCGTTGAGTCAGACCCGACTCAACCCATAGCGACCCCTCCTTGGGTTTCCGAGGCAATATCACTATGGAAGTAGATTGCCTAACCTTCCTTCCAAGGAGTGTCTGGTGGATTTGAATCGCTAGGCTTCTGGTTAGCAGTCAAGTGCCTTAGGCACTGCGCTACCAGAGCTCCCATCCAGCAATCCCACTCCTAGGTCTATACCCTAAACAAACAAGAATCATGATGTGAATAGACATATGTATACCAGTGTTCATTGCAGCATTATTCACAATAGCAGAAGGATGGAAATAACCTTAGGGCACATCGTGGTATGAATGGATAAACAAATTGGTATGTACACACAATGGAATACTATGCAACAATAAAGAATAATGACAGATCTGTGAAACATCTCAACATGGATGAATTTGGTGGCCATTAGGCTGAGTAAAATAAGTCAGTCACAAAAGGACAAATATTGTATGGGACCACGATTATAAAAAAGTCAACAGAAGGTTTCCACACAGAAAGAAACATTCTTTGATGGTTGCCAGAGATAGGATGGGGAGGAAGGGAAAATGACTAACCAGAGAGTCAACATGTGTTAATTTGGGAAAGAAAGTAAGAGTAAGAAGTATACAGAAAGAGGTAAGAGTAAGAAGTCAGCACAACATGACCAAAGCAATGGAAGACCCTGAGAAGTATGCAAGAATATAGAGCAACTACAGCAATTGCTGTAACATAGACAATCCTGCAATAATAGTATTAACAAACAGCTTACAAATGGATACATAAGTAGGTATGCTAAAGAGGTATGGGAGAGTGTAAGGGAGCACACCCACCTCTACATACAAGTTTGGTTGTGGCTGTTTCCTTAATTGTAGGGTCTGCATGCATATTAATACAGACGGTAGAGCACACAAGGGTTCAGCCATGGAAATTTCTTAGACATAACTAAAAGTCTCATGAAAAAAAGTTCCTCGGTTTAAGTCAAAACACCATAGCTTCAGGGGATATCTACATCAGTTGACATAAAACAATTTATAAAGACAATGTTTTGCATCCCACTTTGGTAAGTAGGGATCTTCAAAGCTTACTAGCCTCCAGTTAAGATACAAGTATTGGTCCCTTCACATCAGAGCAAAGGAGAGTGAGGAAAGCTAATGACTCAAGGGGGCAATTTATCCAGAGGACTAATGGACCACATGAACTACAGCCTATAATACCTGGAGACCAGAAGAACTGGATGGTGCCTGGCTACCACTACTGACCATTCTGGCTGGGATCACAGCAGAAGGTCCTACAGAGTGGGAGAAAAATGTAGAACAAAAAATCAAATTGACAAGACCAGACTTACTAGTTTGACAAAGACCGGAGGAACCCCTGAGACTGGCCCTAAGACACCCTTCTTACCTGGCATTTTAGCCATTCTTGAAGACCACCTTTAGCCTATAAAGTAAGCAGTAACACCCCCATAGAACTGTGTTCCTTAGAACAATCAGTTATACAAGATCAAAAGGGCAACATTTGTCAAAAAGCAAAGATGAGCAGGCAGGACGGCATAGAGTATCCAGACAAAAGAATCAAGGAGCCCAGGGTGGAAATGAGGAGAGTGCTGGTACATTGTGGAGAATGCAGCCAAACAAACAAATCGCCACTGTCATAGAGTTGGTCCTGACTCAGCAACCCCCATTGGGTTTCCAAGGCTGTAAATCTTTATGGAAGTAGATTGCCCCATCTTCTTCCTACTGAGCAGATGGTGGATTTGAGCTGCCAACCTTCTGGCTAGCAGCCAATTGCCTTATCTACTACACACACAAAAAGTAATGGTCAGGTTTCAGGGTGATGGTGGGAAGGCAGCTCATATTTGCTGAGGTAGACATTTTCATGTATTATGTTACAGGTAAGTTTCAAGTGTCCGTAACAGTGCTTTTCACATTTGTATAGATTGTATAACGTTGTCTGTAGATAGTTTTCTTTAAGAAAGATACTCATAAAAAAGTAAATCAAGTGGTCCTTCATTTTGGCAATAATATTATTTACATTTTTTTCTTTGCATTTTATAAAGTGCTTTCACATTTCATTTTTCATTGCATAAGATGATTATGCAGAAGAAACAAATATAAATTAAATTCAGTCCTCACTTTTTTTGAGCAGAGAATTAGGGTGGTGTATTCTCCAGTCTTCTGGTGTTTTTTAGAATGACTTAAGAATTGACTTGATGGCTGTGGGTTTTTTTTGGTAAGAATTTACTTAACTTTTCTCCATTTATAATTGAGTAAGAATAAAAATGCTTAATGACCTAGATAAAGTAATGTAATGTGGGCTGTTTTAAAACATTTTATTTTTTAAGAATTGTATTACAAAATTTTACTTTGTAAAGTTATATTTAACCAATATATATTTATGTTTTAAGATCTTGTTATAAGGTTTTGATCCCACATCTGGTGATTAGAAGTCATTTTGATGAGGTCAAGTCCATTGCTAATCAGATTGAAGAGGACTGGAAAAGTCTTCTAACAGACTGCTTTCCAAAGATTCTTGTAAATATTCTTCCTTATTTTGCCTATGAGGATACTGTAGACAGTGGGATGTCACAGCAAAGAGAGACTGCTGCCAAAGTCTATGATATGCTCAAAGATGAAAACTTGTTAGGAAAACAGGTATGGCTTGAACTTTTATCTACTTTTTACCCCCCACCCCCATTTTATATAAGATGTAAATTTAAAATTTTAAGTCTATGCAATTAAAATGAATATATGCTAATCACTAGGATAGCCAATTCATGAAATATTTTTGTCGTGCAATGTTCTGTCTTTTGGGTTGGCTTTTAAATAATTGGAAATATTCTTATCAGAAACCAAAAAAGAAAAAAATTATTTCTGAATTTTATTATTATTTTATTTAAAAAATTTATCTTAATTGCCAGGACCTCTGGTAGCATAGTGCCTAAGGCATTTGACTGCTAACCAGAAGGCTGGAAGTCAAATCCACCAGCCACTCCTCGGAAGGAAGGTTGGGCAATCTACTTCTGTAGTGATACTGCTTCGGAAACTCGAGGAAGGGTGGCCATGAGTCAGATATGACTCGACAGCAGTGGGTTTGTTTTGATTTTATCTTAATTGCCAGCAATGCATGAATGCAAACTGGTTGTTCAGTTGAACAGTGCAGTCTCTAAAGAATCTTCTTTCATTCCTTTCCAGTCCCACCAAGACTGACTTTTCAAGGAAAAGTACCAGCCCATCCTCAGAACTTCTAGACCCTATACCCTGCTCTTTCTTTTTCCCATGGCACTTACTACTTTCTAACATGATATAATTTACTTATGAATTACATTTACTATAGTCTTCCCCACTAGAATATAAACACTGTGAAGGTAGGATTCTTTTCCTTTGACTAATATATCACGAGAGCTCTGGTAGCATAGTGCCTAAGGCATTTAACTGCTGATCAGAAAGCTGGTGGCTCAAATCCACCAGCCACTCCTCAGAAGGAAGATTGGACAATCTATTTCTATAGTGATACTGCCTTTGAAACCCGAGGAGGGGTCGCTGTGAGTCGGATCCAACTCGATGGCAGTGAGGTTTTTTTTGTTTTTTTTTTAATATATCACAACCACCTAGTATATATTAGCTTATTAAATATTTGTTGAAAGGAATCAGTAAAAAATATTTGACAAGCGTTGTTTTGTAATGATTTTATATAGATATTGAAAAATTGGTGTAACTTATATTTTAAAAACATAAGTTTTTTATTCTTCTGATGTAAGTAAGGGATGACTTACCAAGCTTGGCTAACATTAGAATTATAGTTGGAAAAACTCTAAGAGACACTTTCAGTTGCCCAATCATCTGTGTTGAACCACGAAATACAACAGCATATCTCTTAGTTGTTTAGGCAGATCACTACCAATGAGAGCTGGTTGTAAGTCTGTGATCTCGGAGAAAGTGGTAGGTAGAGGTGTCCCTTTACCAAAAGAATGTTACAAAAAAAGTGTTAGCCCTCCAGGGGATATAAAATTTGACAAAGATACTCTGCCTTTTCCCCCTTCCACCCAATCTCCCCCATTTAGACTTCTAAGCATCTCTAACCTTATGATTCTTTTTTCTGTCTGTATTTATACAAAAGATAGAAATTTTTAAAGTCAGAATAAGTCTAGAAGGGAAAAGTGATCACATTTAACCTGGATTAAAACACCAATCTCCATGAGAGTGACAAAAATTTAAAAAATTCATTTACCTCTTGGTTAAAGATGTAAGTTAAATTCCTTGCAAGACTTAATTTTTTTAGTATTAGGTTGTAGTTAACCATATTTGTTTTTTATTGATTTAGAGAAAGTACATATTAGGGAAACAATCTTCTAGATTTTTTATCTGTGGATTAAGTGCCAGTATAACTCTTTGACAGTCCTTGAAACTTTGTTGAATGCTTACAGTATTTATAGTTCACGAGATTTTTGAGCTATACCTAGACATCTGAACAATTTATGTATAACTTAGCTAGATGTTACAGATGTGGCTTAGCAGAGAATGTCATAAAATTAGTTAATATAAAGACCCATTCTTTGTATGGGATCAACATGAGTTGGAATCAACTTGATAGAAACTAACAAGAACAACATGTCCTTTGTGAGGCTGCCTAAAGTGGGAAATGGATTGATAGAGTCAGCACCTTCTATGGTAGAGGATTTAGTCTACAGTTGGTGATGAGGGATGTGAGAAAAAGCTAGCTAGTCTCAGTTTGGGATATCAACCAAGTGGGAATTTGGGTAAGAGTCATGCAGAATACAAAAAGCGATTATTGCTAGTCATGAGAATTCTTCCTAGTCAAGTTCTAAAAGTGAGACAGAGTTCCTAAATGTGTTGAGATTGAAAATACAGACTGAGGAACTATATGGATCACTGAGAACTTTGGTTAGTGGAAATATTATCAAGTTAAGAAATTTAATGCTAGGCCTAAAGCCTTAGTTAGTTAAAATGGTTCTCTAAAGTCACCCTAAACAGTCAGATTATGGGAACCTCATTTGGTGTGATTTCTTACTTTCCTCTCAGGCTGCTGTTTGGACTGCATAGAAGAAAAAGGTAGAGTTAACTGTCGTTGTTGTTGTTGTTGTTATGTGCCATTGAGTCAGACCCGACCCATAGCGACCCCTCCTTGGGTTTCCAAGGCAGATTTTTAGTAATCTATTTCCTTCTATAGTCACAGAATGGTTTAAGAAATAAGCCAGTAACATAAGTGCCTTGAACTGTCTTAACAGTCATAGACATAAAAATATTAAGTATATTTTAATTTTATATCTTTACAGATTGATCATTTATTCATTAGTAATTTACCTGAGATTGTGGTAGAATTATTGATGACATTACATGAACCGGCAAATTCTGGTGTAAGCCAAAGCACTGACCTCTGTGACTTCTCAGGGTATGGATATATATTTTTTAAATGTTTATTGTGATTTGGGTGAACGTTTATAGTGCAAATTCATTTTCCATATAGCAGTTCACAGACACTTTGTCTCATGAGATTGACTGCAATTTCCCACAATGCAACAGCTCTCTTCTCACTTCCTCCCCATAGTTACCTCTTCCCTGTGTCCTTTCCTCCCGTGCACTCCTGGCCCCCGAGCTGTCTCCCTGTGCATACACAGCCCTTTTATTCTCCAATGATTGATCTCTCCAAGGAGTGTATCTGCCTAATGTTCAGCTCATATGCTTATCTTTTGTTTGGCTGGAAGCCATAGGCAATGGTACAATTCCAGACCTGAAGGACAGCTACGGGCCATAGTCTCAGGGATTCCACCATGCTCTATCAGACCAGCAAACCTGGTCCCTTTTTTTTTTTTAAATGATTTTGAGTTTTGTTCCACATTGTTCTCCCACTCTATCCAGGATCTCCTACATAGATCCCCCTCTGAGTGGTTGATGGTGGTAGCCAGGTACCATCTAGTTCTTCTGGTCTCATAGTCATACAGGTTGAGGATTGCATGATGTACCAGTTGCTTGGACTAATTGTTCCCATGCATCTTTTATTTTCTTCATTCTTCTTTGCTCCGGACAAGGAGAGACCCATCGTTTTATCTAGATGGCTGCTTGCAAGCTTTTAAGATTCTAGTCGCTACTCGCCAAAGTAGGATGTATAACAATGTTTTTGTGTAGTATGTTATGCCAATTGAGCTTGATGTTCCCTGCAACCATGGTCCCAAGCCCACAGGTCCAACTACTTGCTCCCTTCAGTAGGTGGCTGTGGCCAAGAAGTAACTATAACTTTGCCCCTATCAGCTGTACTTAAATATCTGGAAATTCTTATAGACCATACAAATTCACTTGTAGAAACATTGTCTGCCAACCCTACACATGGTCATGGGCACACTACCCGTGCGTTGTTGTTGTTGTTGTTAAGTGCCGTCGAGTCGTTTCCAACTCATAGCGACCCCATGCACAGCAGAACGAAACACTGCCCAATCCCGCGCCAGCCCCACAATCCCTGCTATACTTGAGCCCATCATCACAGGCACTGTGTCAATCCATCTCATTGAAGGCCTCCCCCTCTTTCATCGACCCTCCACCCTACTAAGCATGACATCCTTCTCCAGGGTATGGTCCCTTCTTACAACATGACCAAAACAGGTGAGACAAAGTCTGGCCATTCTTACTTCCAAGGAGCATTCTGGCTGCACTTCCTCCAGGACAGATCTGTTAGTTTTTTTAGCAGTCCATGGTACTTTCAGCATTCTTCGCCAGCACCACAACTCAAAAAGATCAACTCTTCTTCGGTCTTCATTATTCATTGTCC